TAGACTATGTGGCTTAAACAACAGACATTTATTTATCATAGTTCAGGAGGCTGGGAAATCCAAGAACAAGGCACCATCAGTGTCTGGGGCAAACTCACTTCTGGTTCATAAATTAGCTATCTTCTCTCACTGTGTCCTCACATGGTGGAAGAAATGGGGCAGCTCTCTGGGGCCTTCATTAGGGCACTAATCCTGTCCATTAAAATTTCCACCCCAGTGACCTAATCACCTCCAAAAGACCTCACTTCCAAATACCATCACATTGGGGGTTATAATTTCAACATATGAATTTATGGGGAGAGGGAAACAAACATTCAGTCCACAGCAGTCCCCCATCACTTTTCAATGACCAGGACCTGGTCACACGATAAAAAGCAGTTCAAAGCTTACTCTTTTAGCTAACTCCATGGTATCCCAAATAAAAAAATTGGTTTCTATTACTAAGAAAGAATAGAAGAATGGCCACTGGGTACTCTACTAGCAATCTCTGCCACTGGGAAGGAAACAAATATCGGACTCCTACAGTCTTAGAGTGCTCATCCCAAGTCATTTAGTCCAGTGTTTCTGAAGCTACTATTGATAAGAATCATGGGGGAGATGCTTAATGAAATAGATTCCTATGTTCCACGCAAATCTACTGAACCAGAACCTTCAGGGAGGGGACCTGGAGATCCCTGTTCTTAACAACCACCTTATGTGATTCCTATCATCAAGAAAGTTTGGAAAACATTAAAATCTGATCTTCCACCTACTTGGTGGTCCCCTCAGCAAATTCCTGAGCCCGGGGACCCAAGGGCAGTCCAATGCACCCTTGAGTGGCAAAAGGCAGTGTCTGACAGAGAGCCAACCCCATGGGAAGGGACCATATAAAGGAATTACAAAAATAATTATGAACCAAGTAACCAAGTACTTTAACCAGTCATCTCTGTCACATGAACAAATGCCTAGGATGTAAATTCCGCTCCTTTCTTTACAAAAAGCTTTAGGATGGCTGCTCTCTCTTTTTTTTTTTTTTTCAATCTTACTTTATCAATTGGAACATAAGTTTGACAAATACAGGGGCGGTGTCTCCCATCTCTGGCCAGCACCAGGCCCAGCATCTGTGAGAGCTCCACCAACATTGCTTTCTCTTAGTTGACAGCTTAATTTAGCCTGTGGGTGGACAGGTTTCTCTTTGAGGAATGAAACAAGCTACAGATTGAAAGGTATAGTATACTTTGTAATATTTTAGAAGTCAACTCTTACTAACTTATGCTCCCTATTTTCTTATCCATTGCAACATTTATTTCCTCCAAATGTATTGACCACCATGTAAGTTACCATGTTAGTTACATGTGCTCTATCATCCAGACAGTTCTAGAATCAAGGGGGCCTAGGTACAAAGTTGTGATGAATGAATTCTAGGACTGATGAGAGATTACAACTTCATTTGTTACTGATCATAGGTTAATAATACTGAGATAACATGGCAGAGAGAGGTGGGGACAGGGGAGTGGTAGGAAGTGAAGAGTGAGGAAGAACCTCAATTATACTGTTGCAACTTGGCAAAATATCCAAATACCTAAATCTAAAGAAAACTACAACCTGTGAAATATTTTCTAAATAAAAACAAGGGGAAGGCCGGGCGCTGTGGCTCACGCCTGTAATCCTAGCTCTTGGGAGGCTGAGGCGGGCGGATTGCTCAAGGTCAGGAGTTCAAAACCAGCCTGAGCGAGACCCCGTCTCTACTATAAATAGAAAGAAATTAATTGGCCAACTGATATATATATAAAAAATTAGCCGGGCATGGTGGCACATGCCTGTAGTCCCAGCTACCCGGGAGGCTGAGGCAGAAGGATCACTCGAGCCCAGGAGTTTGAGGTTGCTGTGAGCTAGGCTGACGCCACGGCACTCACTCTAGCCCGGGCAACAAAGCGAGACTCTGTCTCAAAAAAAAAAAAAAAAAAAAAAAAAAAACAAGCGGAAAATTTTTTGTTTTGTTTTGGTGGAAAGGGCAGACTAATCACTTGACAAATGTTTAATGGCTGACATAATTATATTGTCACAATTGTATGGACTTCTTAAAAATATTTTATACTTAGCGGCTTTATTACTTCAAATGTGGTTCTAAAGGGTATATTATATCTTCAATTCTATGTAGATCAGGAGCCGCTTAGCTTTTATATTACGTAATTTCTGGAAAAGATATCCCTTCCTCACTCCACTTCAGAAACAAAGCAAACTCATAAACACGATAGACACATAAAGACATAAAACGTCTTTTTTTTTTTTTTTTTGAGACAGAGTCTCACTTGTTGCCCAGGCTAGAGTGCCGTGGCGTCAGCCTAGCTCACAGCAACCTCAAACTCCTGGGCTCAAGCGATCCTCCTGCCTCAGCCTCCCGAGTAGCTGGGACTACAGGCATGCGCCACCATGCCCGGCTAATTTTTTCTATATATATTAGTTGGCCAATTAATTTCTTTCTATTTATAGTAGAGACGAGGTCTTGCTCTTGCTCAGGCTGGTTTCGAACTCCTGACCTTGAGCAATCCGCCCGTCTCGGCCTCCCAGAGAGCTAGGATTACAGGCGTGAGCCACCGCGCCTGGCCAAAACGTCTTTTTATTCATTCCTTTTTCTCTCTTTTCCTACCCCTATATCAATCTCTCTTTTGCCATTTTTTCAAAGCTTTGATTTTCCCCTTATAGAGAAAGTCTGAGACTTGAGGATTTCCTGTCTAGAGCTCTACTTTGTGCTTAAGGAAATGTACAAAAAGAAAAGACCTGCATATTTCAAAAGAAGGTTATCATAATTATAACTTACAGTAGAAACAGATTCTTTCTTCCTTGTGTGTTCTTAATTAGTAGAGATTACAAGAAAAGTCATGGACAAGAAGAAGATACATTTTGACTAGGTGCTAGGGGAAAAGTGCTTGAACACACTTCAATTAAGATGTATATTTTTTTTTCCCGAAGCCTATGGGACTGTGCACAACTCCAGTAAAAATAAATGTACTGCTTTTGCCATACTCTCTTACAGAAGCAATTACCAGTGGACACAAAGATGGAAGGGAGCCCAGGGGGTTGGAAAGAGACCTGAACAGGAAAAACAGAATTTTAAAGCTTAATGAGACTTTTGAGAGCATCTTATTTTACCCATGTGGAAACCCAAGGAGGCAAACTGACCTGCAGGAATCACACACACTAACTGGCAGAGCTAAGATCAGTAAATGTAGCCTGCGGTTCTGTCCACAACATCATGTGCCAAGTCTTGATACTATCTGGAAGTAACAGTCAAATGTTGAGCTGACCTCTTTGCCTCTCTGGCCTTATGTTTTACATATTTATCATCTCTTAATATGCTATAATTGATGTGGGGTGGGAACAAGAGCTGGAGGTCTAGATGGTCTTGGCTGAGTTATTGCCTCTCGTTAAGGAAGATGAAAACATTTTCTGGAGTGGAAAAAGGATATTTCTCATGAAATGCAATCCACAGTACAAAGTTCAAGGTCAAGGAACCACATGAAGCATATCCAAAAGGGGCAAGCATTACTTCTCTGCTCATAAGATAGCCGGAAAGCCTGACATTTCCAGCAAGGAGAAACACTCCTGCAATAATAGGAGCCTGCAACAAAGAGTAAACTATACAGATGAGGAATAAAAAGCTTGCAGTGCCCTGTGATATAACATAATCACACAAGGGGCCCAACACCGATGTGATGAAGTTCTGAAATGAAAAACTTCTTCCATAAGTCCAGAACTCCATGGCTCAAGTATCATCTTTTAAAAAATTTCAACGTAAGTGTCTAAACATCAACCTCAAATCCATTACTCAGCTTGAGATATTTTGAGTAAGAGCCCACCGAATATGGGAAAAATCATATAAAGGCAGAAAATAATCCTTAAGTGACATTATATTTATATTTACCTTATAATAAATCTTCATTGTGCTCAGTTTAATGAGTAACTCTTAATAATGTAAAGATATACACATTCCATGGGTCATATAAAGCCAAGGCTGCTAAAGTGGGTGATTTAATATTTCAAGGAAAACTGAATTATGTGAAGGTCAAGTTCCTTTTTAAAAGTATATTAGGAGACATTACAAAAATAAGGAAGTAGTTATAAATCTGAGTTCCAAGAATGGTAACTCCCTTGTATGGACAGAGAAAAACACTAGGGCAGAACAATTACATTCCCATGCTAAGAAAACCCTTATCAAGAAAAAAAAAAAAAAGAACCTTAAAGAAAGGCCAAAATCACAGCATTAAAAATTGCATTTCACTGAGATGCTCCATACGGAAGTTAGTGGTGTTAATTGGCAGCTTCAGAGGACAGAGGGCAAATAATACAAAGGTTGTTTGCAAACATCAAAAGAAAAAAGGAAAGTGGCTACAACCCAGTCCCACAAAGGCAAATGCAAGCCGGCTGGTAGCTCCCAGGTGTGAAGGATCACACGTGATTATGCTAATGTAGAGATCACTATGTGGCCAGCATGGGTTCATTTTCAGGCAGTTTTCTTTTTAAGATTTAACACAGTACTACCCAAGAGAAATATAATATAATGCCACATTTTCTATTTCCTGATAGTCACATTTTTAAAAGTACAAAGAAACTGTGAAATTGATTTTAATAATAACTTTATATAACCTAATATAGCCAAAATAGTCATTTCAGCATGAAATATACATGAAAACTATTAGTGGGATATTTTACATTCTATTTTTTTATGCTTGTTTTCAAAATCCTGTACACTTACAGTACATCTCAATTCCAATGCTACATTTTTATCAGAACTACTTGACATCTATTTAGATTTCATTTTATTTAGATTTGAAAAAATAAATTCATATATCCAAAATGTCCCAAACTTAAACATTTCCAATATCTGAATTGTTTTTAAATTTAAGTTTATTAAAATAAATAAAATTAGGCGGGCATGGTGACACATGCCTATAGTCCCAGCTATTCGGGAGGCTGAGATAGGAGGATCTTTGAGCCCAGGAGTTCAAGTCCAGCCTGGGCAACCTAGTGAGACTGTGTCTCTAAAAGAAAAATAATAAATTAAATAAATTAAATTAAAAATTAAGCTTTTTAGTAGCTCAACAGACATACGTGGCTAGTGATTAGAGGAGTGGACAACACAGGGCTATCATCTTTGTCCCATCCTCAAAGAAGGAGTCATTTATCTTTCCAACTTCCCACGGAATAGTAAATAAAACTGAAGTCATCCTGTAAGGAGATAAAGATACTAATTTCCTCATTATGGAATTCAGCTTATAGAATACAGAAATGGAATAAGTATGTTTTTAAAAATCTGATATAGGGGGTCAGAATAGAATTAGAAAGTATTTGGAAAAGGGAAGTGAACATCTTTTGCATTTCTATTGTATTTAATCCCCACAGTACCCCTAGGGGGCATGTACTTCTCTGAAATTCCCATTTTACTGCTAAAGAAACAGAAGCTCAAAGAGTTTGCAGACAGTTAAGTGGTACACAGAATTTGAGGTTAACTATAATCAATTTAACTAACTTTTAGGTGAGTGTTTAAGGAACTTAACTAACTCTTAGGTCTTGGGCCTGTGCACAAAACACTGCCCAGCTACTGAGTCACATAATTATGGATACTGATTTCCTGGAGGAGTTTAGGAAAAACCGGACAAAGTACACGATGGAAGTGTTCATCTCCGCAGCTAGCCATTTTAACCTCTCTCTATTGAAAGCGCCATAATCTGTAAATTCTTCACTTGCTATGGTGACTGACTCAACATTCTCCCTCACTGGGTGCGGAACCTAGTAACCAGTAGTTTTAAAAGCTTCCCCGGTATTGTGATACATAATGAGGGCTGGCAACCACCGAGACGGATTAGATCTCAAACTTCAATTTGCATCAGAATCACCTGGGATGGGGGTGGGGCGTGGGGTGCTTTAGAAACACAGATCATTGGGCCCCACTCCAGAATTTCTGATTTGGTAAATCCGGGGTGGAACCCATGAATTTGCATTGCTAACAAGTTCCTCAGGTACTCTCACGCTGATGGTCCCGGCATCACACTTGGAGAACCACTGAACTAGAAAAAAGATGGATGTACTTAATTGAGGTAAGGAAAAGAGGCACCACAGATTCATAAAGAACTTTGTTCCCAAGGGCATGTTGCCAGGCTGGCATCTGCCTAGAAGTTGACCGCCTGAATCAGAACCAGCTAGATGCCTCCGAAATGCAGACCCAGCCCCAAAGGATGATTTCCCATGGAGCTACCAAACTTAAGCCTCAGGGCCCCTTCCAAGGCCTAGCAATAGTATATGTTGTTTTTGTGTTTGTTTCTGGTAAAATTTTTAAAAGTAAGGGTTTTTTGTTTTTGTTTTTTATGGAGGACTTCCATATTTTTCTGCATAAACCTCACAAGCCACAAAACTTGAATCATCCCTTTGAGACCTCTTATCCCTATTTATATCTTCCAGATTTTTTTCTAGGAGAAATACATTAGAAATTTTTAAAACATCACAAATATGTTTAGAACTTGCTTTTGTCTCTTAATTATAGTATATAAAACAGTGCTCCTTAATAAATTCCTGCAACATTTTAATGGCCGTGTAATACGTACCCAAAATATACTCAACCTTTAAATACTTAAGTGGTTTGTAATTTTTATGTATTTATCACCATGGTGAATTTCCTTAAAGCTAAATATTTATGCCCATCCTTATTCCCTTAGTATTCCTAAGTAGAAGTGTTGACATGTACCATATGCATTTCTTATTTGTTGTAATTATAATGTAATGTACAATTTTGTAATGTGAATTTCTCTCCATTAATCATATGGGTTTTTCCAGCTGCTGGATAATTTTTAAGCTTAATGTCTGTAATGACTCCAGAACATTCCTCTCTATGGATATAGCAATTTATTTGTCTACTCCTCCTTCTGGGTTATTCTCAATTTTTCATTAATATAAATAATATCGCAACAAACTCTTTTCTTTTTTTAGATTATTTCCTTAACATAGCTTTCCCTTAAGTGGGTCAAAAAGTATAACCACCACCCACCAACCCAAGAAGATTGTTTACAAAACACAGCTCGCAGTAGAGAAATGTGGTGTCAGTGTGAACAAGGTTCACGATGGGCTTGAGGTCCCAGAGCCTCGCAGACCCCTCACATTCAGTACATTTAACCTGGGACTATAACAGGACCTGTGTCTGTCTTGAGGGCTTGGCTGACTATTCTCCACATTCTGGAGGAGTATCTTCCCAGCGAGGAGCAAGTTGTCTGGAATCTTCCTGGCTGACTATGGCTAAATGATTCACAAACATATAAGAACTGAATAATATCATAGTATCCCGTAAATGAGGTTGAAACAGCTGCCCCAACAAAATCAGGACCTAAGCACTCTTTTGTTCTGTTTTATTTCCAGTAATGCGTGCCAGTGTTCTTAATCAATGACAGTTGGCTCCCTGTGGCCAGAGACACATGTGGCAGTCAGCAAATTGGGTCTAGATTTAGGTAATTTTCTGCCCAGGGAACACAGGCTAGTTAATTAGCCTACACAAGGTCTAAGTTCGTAACTGTGATTTCCTTTGTGTGGTTCTCCAACCACTTGATAGGCTAATGAACTATAGATACAAACTAATTTTTCATTTTGGGTACAAAATAAGTACACAGGTGGATTGTAAATAACAAGCCAGGCCCCCCCCCAGTGATGCCTGTTAGCTTCACATAGCGTGATCAAACGAGGCTAAGAGGACATTCTGGCCATCCTAAAGGAAACACACCCAGAAAACACCACTGACCTTTTGTGTCTGTCCATGATATGGGTAAGTGGTAAATACTGAGCAGAGGGAGGCCACAAGGAGATAATGATGAATGGTCAACACTTCCATTTTGCACTTAGCCATTCATTCATTCAATACAGTGACTGGTGCCAGAAGCTGGGCAGGATGCTGCTGGCAGAGCAGGGACGATGATCCCATATGTCCTACCTGTGCCCAAAACTGCTGCCTGCCACCTAAATCTACATGTTCACCATAGGGGATTAGGTGGCTTTCCAAATGCACTTGAAAAGACAGGAATCTACAGTAATATTTCCCCCGACTTCTGAACTTACTGAACACTAACCAGAGCTTACAAAACAATCCACCTTCCGGCTATTCACTGGGCACAGAAAATTCCCGAGGACCAGAACCCAGAGCCAGAAACTACCCCCAGGGGGAAACTACCCCAAACTTGCTGGATCACAGCCAGGCTAGCTTGAGTCACACCCTTTGTTATTTTAAAAACAGAAAACAATACATAAATACCTTCAGTCTCAGGTCCCAATTTGTGTTTTAAGTCCTCCTCTCCAAGCCACCCCTCCTCAAAACAGGTCTGACCACTTTGATTTCCATATTCTCCACCCCTTCTTTGGTTCCTAAGGCTCTCAGAGGCTAATCCTGAACCTGGCTAGTAGGCGTCACCGAAGCACGCACTGGTCAAAGTTTACCCATGATTATCATCTGTCAGTTGCCACTGGAAAGTGGAATGAGGAATCTGAAATGCAATTCCAGGCCTGTACTTGGTTGGCTGGAGTCATCATATTTGGTATCTCCTGACAGCAAACGCCTGTGTGCACCAGTACCTGGGGGCCCACCCCTCAGTCTCCTAGTATTTATAAAATCAAGCAGTGGCTTCAGGACACTGGGGTTCTTTCTTCCTTGTCACTCAGATGTTCACTGCACAAAGAGTGGCTTCTAACGCAGTGTTTCAAACTCGGCAGGGCCATCTCCTGGCCCACCCCCACCCCCAAGACCACAGCGTGGTGACCCAGTGCATCCCCGGGGCCACTGTTGGGGGGTGGGGTGAAGTGCACAGTGGGCGCCAGCTCTGCAGCAGCAGCACCTTGGCCCTAGCGGCCACTCCTGGTTCCCTGGCCCTGACCCGGCCGAGATCAGAGGCGATGCCTTTGCTGGGAGGAGGGAAAGTGTGACCTACCAATTGGTTCTGGCAAAACGATTTCTGAAAAATTTTTTGCTTTATGTGGGAAATAGATCTAAATCTCATTTTATGCTGTATTTTATAACTCAGTTATGTTTGAAAATATTCTGATTTTTGGAAACACATCAAAATAAATAATGACATTTGTTGTCACAAAAAAAAAAAAAAACCAGCAATAGCAGGACATGGTGGCTCTGGAGCCCAAGTCCCCAGGTGCAAACCCTGCTTCCTACTTTACCTTGGATTTGGACAAGTGTTATAGGTTGAATTTTGTCTCCCTCAAAATCCATATGTTGAAGTTCTAACTCCCACTACCTAAGAATGTGACCTTACTTAGAAATAGGGTCAATGCAGCTGTATTTAGTTAAGAATAAGGTGGGCCCTTAATCCAGTACAACTGGGATCCTTATAGAAGGGGACATTTAGAAACAGACATGCACAGAGGGAAAACACTAGGTAAAGATGAAGGCAGAAATTAGGGAGATGCTCCTTAAATCCAAAAAAACATGAAAGATGGCCAGCAAACCACCAGAAGCTAAGGGGGAGACACAGAAGATACTCTCCCACACAGCCCTCGGAAGAATCAATCCTGCTGACACTTCAGGTCTAAGCCACTCCTATGGTACTTTGTTACAGAAGTCCTAGCAAACTAACGCAGAAGGTTGCACTGTTGCAGTTTTCTCATTTGTAAAATGGGGATAAGAATAATACTTCACTAACAGAGAGGCATAAATAAATTATTATTTGTTAGGTTCCTTAGAATAATGTCTGGCAGGTAAGTGTATTTTAGTGGTAAACGGTTCTTCCCAAACATTCTTTTTTAATCATATAGATTCTCACTTTTTTCCCCTAAGTTTCCTAATGCCTCTTCCCACCAAGTTGCTTAGTGAAATGCAAGTGCAAAAATAAGCCCACGCCAGATTTCTCAGGAGATGAGGGGCTGGCAGGGCCAGAGCAGCAGGGTGTGGCCGCACAACTGAGACCTTCCTTTGTGTATCAGAGAGGAATCTAGGCTCCCTCCCTGCTTGCTCTCCATCACACCCACTCACATCCCATCCCTCCCCTCCCCACAGCAGCCACCACCCTGGCCTTGGCCCTAGTCCTGGCCCGTTTTTTCCCTTACAGTTTCTCAAAACCCTGAATCATCCTAGAGCCAAAATGTAATCATCTTGCAACCTCACTCTTCATTCTTACCCACCCCACCCAGCCCTTTCAATGCTGCATGGAGAAGTCCCCGCCCCCTCCAAACCTTACTTTCTCCTACTGTCCATGTACACCTCCCTCTTCGTGACAGCCCCACCTCTACTCTTGAGATTCTCCTCATTAGTACTGTTTCCCTCTATGAGTCCTAACTTACCCAGTCAAGATGGGCCAGCCCCAAACTCCTATGATGATGACAGGCCACATGCCAGAGTTTATTCTGAGTGGCATAAGCCTGGCACAGCCATAAATGTCTCATGCATGCCAGATGTATTATCTCAACTAGACAGTACACTTTTTTGAGACTACTCATTTGTCGCACACTACAGAGGACCTACAGATGCCAGACACTGTGCTAGGCATCAGGGCTGGCAGATATCAGTAGCCACCATTTGTTGAGAAGTTACTATATGCCAGATTTTATCCTAATCCTTGTGATGACGCTGTAAAGGAGGGGCTGGCCTCATCCCAGGTTTCAGGAGAGAGAACTAATGATCAGAGAGATTATGTAACTTACCCAATGTCACCTAGATAGTAAGGTATAACACTGGGCAAGAAAGAAAACAGGGCTGAGAAGGAGTACAAGGGGTGAGCTAGTAACAAGCTGAATAACCAGACCCCAAAGAACGTGGATCAAGGCACGTTCTATCTGGAAGGATGTCAATAGTTATTTCACGTGTACCTATCTATACCTGGGTGGAGCTTTTCAGCGGCTCAATATTTTAATCAATGACTTAGACTAAGATTAAATAAGCATCCTACCAAGTCTATGGATGATTCAATGTGATTAAGATAAAAATCAGAATTTAAAATGATACAAAAACTAGAGAAATAGCTTTATCTAACAAAATGGAACTTAACATATTTAACTAACAAAATTTAACTAGGATAAACATAGTGTACTGCATTTGGGTTCAAACACCCCCACAGCACAAGTATATGAAGAAAAAGGGTTTTACAAGCAATTGGGAGAAAAAAAAATCAACAATAAACTCCATATGAACCAAGAGGGTAATGTGTCTACCAAAACAGCTAGTATGATCTTAGGTTATATTAATAAAGGTACACATCTAAGAGGTGGATATTGTACTATTTCTAATGTTCTTTTGGAAAAAAATCTAAAGTTCTACTCAGAATTCTAAGCCCCAAAATTTGATAGTCAAACTGTCATATATGTTGAGATGAAATTAGTCTATGCAAGTAAGAATCCTCAGATTTCACAATTTTATAAATTACATATTGACTGAATACATGGACTCGGTGTAACCTAAAGCTAAGTTTATAACATATAATTGCAGGCTGACATCATTCCCAAACTTTTCAATGAAGGTGTGAGATCAGATTATGTTAGTTCTTATTAGTGTAAGAAACCCCCAAATTATGACTGTAAAATGATGTACTTAAAACAAACCCATGTTAATCCCACATATGATCAGATCAGGTCATGAATATATCTATCACTGGACTTGAAAGGAAAAGACTGACTGATTACCTCTTACCACCAGCAGGTAACACTCAAGAGCAGTGTCCATTCCTAACATGGACAAGGCATTTGATTCACCTAAAACAGTCTGCTGCAATGTAGGCTTCCATCAATAGGACAATGGGTACTGGGCAAGTAGCAATCAATAGTCCCTTCTGGAGTAAAAGTAATCAAAATTATAGAAAGTCACTAAAGTTTGAGAACACTGCGGCACACCTTTACCATCCAACTCTCAAAGGAGACTCTCTTGGAAACTGCCTGTGGCTGAGTTAATTGTCACCAGTAATCATTCTCCCCTTTCCCTTGAGGTTAACTGGTTTCAAGGCCACCAACAAGAGAATATGATTTCCTGCCTCCCTTGCAGCTCAGTAAGGGAATGTGACGAAGCCCCAATCAGTTCCCTGTGAGGGCAATCACATGTGCACCTTTGGTGTCACACCCTTTAAAAAGGAAAATGCTTGTGCTTCACTCTTTCTGGTTCCTTAAGACTTGAATGAAGACCATGCAATATGGACAACACCCTAGAGCAGGGTTCCTCAAACTTTTTAAACAGGGGGCCAGTTCACTGTCCCTCAGACCATTGGAGAGTATGCACTGTGGGCCCAAGACAAGTCAGCTGCTAAGCAGGACAGGCAGGGGCGGCAAAAACACACGTAGGGCCGGATGAATGTGCGAGGTGGCCCGCATGTGGCCCGCTGGCCATAGTTTGAGGGCACCTGCCTTAGAGCAGCTCTCTCCAACAGAATCATCACGCAAGACTTACATCATTTTAAAGTCTCTACTAGCCACAATGAAAAAAGTAAATAGAAACAGGTAAAATAAATTTTACTCTATGTCCAGAATATTAGCACTTCAATGTGAAATTACAAAAATTATTAAGATATTTTGCATTCCTTTGGGGGGGACAATGTCCTTGAAATGTGATGTGTATTTTACACTTGCAGTACATCTCACTTTGGACTAGCCACATTTCAAATGCTGAAGAGTCACATATAGCCAGTGACTACTACGCTGCACAGTGCAGCTCTAGAGTACAGCAGGACATCAGAGAAAGGAATGGATCCCTAGATGAATCAATCTATGGAGCAGAGCTGCCTGATGGCCTTTGGACTACTTGAAACTTCTACTTCAAAAGAAAACAACTTCTATCTTGTTTGAGCCACTGTATTTCAGGGTATTTTGTTAAAACAGCTTATCCTGTACCTAAGTAATATGTTCACTGGGACCTCACAGAAGAACCCAACAGCTTCTCAGTTATGAAATAACCCTTCAAAGAATGGTCAGATTCATGAATTCACACTAACTCTCATCAAAAACCCTTCTAAAAACATAGCCCATATTTGAAAAATTGCCATAGAAACATTCTCAGCATTGGTAAATACATCTCAGAATAAACACATCCAGGGAGAACAGCTGGTTCCTTAGACTTTTTCTTGCTCCATTCTCACGTTATAAATCTCTGCACTTCCCAGCCAACCAGCACACTGGGCAGCCCAGGAAGCATGAGGGAGCTAGAAGCCATCGGATCATTTGGCATCCTGAGAAAATTAAAAATGAAATCCTTTTAGGGAGTTATTCCAAAAAAGTGAAAGCGTTTTTGTTAATGCAATAAAAACTGCTCTAATAATTGAATAACCAAGTTGATCAAAACACAGGGACTTTCCTTTTTTAAAAGGAGGTAGGGATGCAAGCAAATGGAAAGCCAAGGCTAGTTGCTAATGTCATCTTTAGAGACATACTGGTTCTTGAGCTAGTGCTCACCCTATCGCCATATACATGAAAATAACCACCTCCGTATAGCAAAGATCTTTGGGTAGAAACTCAACTGAAAACCTCCATAGGATGATTCAGAAGTAGCTGCAGTTTCACTCCCAAGAAGTAGTTAAGTAAAGAATTTGACAAACGAAAAACATGTAGGTCAACAATAGCCTCAGTTCAAAATGATTAGGTAATTAATTTAGAAGAAAGAGATAAGAGATGATAACCTAAATGACTAATTGCTTGTGTAGATGTAAGATTTCCCCACGTTTAGGACCCAGGTTCTGGGTCATGTTGGTCTCCAGCTGGAAGGGTATCATGTTTAACCAAGAATTATGGTCTGGGGTAAGTAGAATAAAGCTGTGACCCATTCAGTCAGCAATGGAGCTCCATTTAGACATAGACGTTTTACTAGCTTCACTGGAAGAACAGAAGTAGCATCTGTTCTCTCTCACTTCAGAACTGAAATCTGAAAGGCATTTGGCTCTTTGGAAACAAAGAACCCAAGATTTTCCCAGATCCTGCCCTGCCAAGGAGGAATGATGCTGACATTGGTGAACTTTACCACCATGGATGGGCTTACGATGATGTAAAATCATTGTACGGGTGTTATTTATGTTTAGGGCAACAGGGCAGAATTTATTTTATGCAGTTTGGAGCTTCACAATTTAGGAATGCCTTGTGCCAGCAAGCAAGTGTGCGGTTGACAATGCAAACTCTTCTGTCAAGAAAAAAAGAAGGTTCCCATCTCTCTGCCATTTACCAAACACGTGACTTTTGCCAAGTTTCTTACCTGCCCTTGACCTTCATTTCTTCCTCTGTAAATGACCTTCATTTCATTCCTTCGTAATGCTACCGTAACAATGGTGTTTACTGCATAGTCTTGTAAGCGTTAATGACAGAGTATGTCAAGGGCTTGGCGCAGTGCCTGGCACCTAGGGGGCAGTCAGTAAATAAGGACTCTTCTCCCCATGACTGTACAGGTCAGCGATCAACACAGGTTCACTCTTGCTACTAATGTGACATGTTGGGCAGTGATAGAAAGGCCACTGCAAAAGGGTGATGCTCCAGCCTCACTCTCTCAGACACTGAAAATAGTCCCAAAGATGAAGAAACAGTGGAGCTGAGGTCTACGACAGCACATGCTCAGTGGAGGAATGCCGGGCTTTGGAGAAACTGCTCAAGGACGGAAAGGACTGGAGGTATGTTATGGCTTCAGTTGTATCCCCTCACCCCCATTGATATAGTGAAGTCCTAATGCCCCCTGAACTCAGAATGTGACCTTATTTATTTATTTATTTTTGAGACAGAGTCTCGCTTTGTTGCCCAGACTAGAGTGAGTGCCGTGGCATCAGCCTCGCTCACAGCAACCTCAAATGCCTGGGCTCAAGCAATCCTGCTGCCTCAACCTCCCGAGTGGCTGGGACTACAGTCATGCACTACCACGCCCAGCTAATTTTTTCAATATATATTAGTTGGCCAATTTATTTCTATTTATAGTAGAGACGGGGTCTCGCCCTTGCTCAGGCTGGTTTCGAATTCCTGACCTCAAGCAATCCGCCCGCCTTGGCCTCCCAGAGTGCTAGGATTACAGGCGTGAGCCACCAAGGCCGGCCAGACCTTATTTAGATATAGGGTTTTAACAGAGGTCATCAAGCTCAAATGAGGTCATTATAGTGAGCCCTAATCCAATATGAGGGGTGTCCTTATAAAATGGAGAAATTTGGACACAGATACATACACACAAGAGAAAGCAATGTGAAGACAAAGGCAGAGATCGGGCTGTTGCTTCCATGAGCCAAAACTGCCAGCAAAACTCCAGAATCTAGGTCAGAGGCATGGAACAGATTCTTACCCACGGCCCTCACAAGGAACCAACCCTGCTGGTACCTTGATCTTGGACTTCTAGCCATCGAACTCTGAGACAATGAATTTCTGTTGTTCAGGGCAGCCACCCAGTTTGCGGTACTTTTTATGGCAGCCCTAGCAAACTGATACAAGGCAAAATTGGGCAGCAAGGAGATGCTCCATTAAAAAGGGCTAAAAAGACCTAAAAAATATGTAGCATGACACATAATTGACCAAATTTCTCTCTAGAACTTTTACTAGTCTACCTCTACCCAATGGGATCATCTTTGATGTATCTTAAAAATATGTCTCTGAAAAAGAGGCTCAGCTTTATGACAGATTTGACGACAGCTCCAGTCTGCAGAGAGATCTAGATTTCAAACACTATCATTTTGTGTGTGTGAGTACGTGTGTGTGGTGGGGGAGGGAGGCTTAGGCATCTGTAAAAACTTATTATAAATAACTAAAAACTCCTTGAAAAAATACCTTGGCAGAGATGTCGGCTGTCGACCTTCATAAGAGCTGTTATCTCAACAAGCAACAAATTCAAACCCCTGTCTGAGCAGGATGTGTCTGGTTCCACAAGATTCATGGGGTGTGTGCATTTCCTTGGCTGAAAGCTACAATCGTTAGTAGCTGCTATGTAAAGGTATACCAAAAATTTAATCTTTCATGGAGCCAGTCGTTTTAAACTAGCTGTTTTGGTTTTTTTTAATGGAATGTCCGCTGCTTCTCTATTATAATGGAAAACATAATTGGGAACAAATCTTTCTTAAAATTGAGCACACACCCACAAAGTAAACTGTGAAGCCCTCAATCATGCTTGAGTGGCATTTCTTAAGATTTGTTACATAGATCTTTCAACTCCACTTCCCATCCCTCAACCTCCACCCATTTTACTCAAGGCACTAAAAATTGGCATTTACAAAGAAATTCCAGAAGCCTAAGCATTTTATTAGCAAAGGGAAATCCCAACCTTTTTGGCCTCATTTCTCATGATGACAGCTCATTTTTTCATGTAGAACCACATATTAGTTGCTGCAAATATTTAAAGAGGTAAAGAAGTCACTTTCAAATTATAGTCATAAAAGGCATACATAATGATGATGTAGAACACTGTGCTTCTTTTATAAGCATAGAAGTCAGTCTACTCATTTTTAAAACTAGATGAGAATGTTATAGTGTTCTTACTGACATACTCAGAGCCAATACTTAGGGTACTCTCTGGGCTCCTAGAGTAATACCATTTTGCACATCAAGGGCCTTTTCTTTCTTTTTTTTTTTTTTTGAGACAGAGTCTCACTCTGTTGCCCAGGCTAAAGTGCTATGGTGTCAGTCTAACTCACAGCAGCCTCAAACTCCTGGACTCAAGCGATCATTCTCCCTCAGCCTCCCGAGTAGCTGGGACTACAGGCATGCGCCACCATGCCCGGCTAATTTTTTCTATACATTTTTAGTTGGCCAATTAATTTCTTTCTATTTTTAGTAGAGACAGGGTCTCGCTCTTGCTCAGGCTGGTTTCGAACTCTTGACCTTGAGCAAATCCTCCTGCCTCGGCCTCCCAGAGTGGTAGGATTACAGGCGTGAGCCACCATGCCTGGCCGTCAAGGGCCATTTTGGAGACTGAGTCTACCCACTGTGCTGCAGGCTGGCTCCCCACATTGGCCTTCCCACACCCCATCCTTCCCAATCCCACCAATCCTCAAGGCCTGGGTGAAGCCCCACCTCCAATAAAGCTCCAAAAATGCTCCCACTTCCAGTGATTCATCCCTCAGAAAACTGATAGCATTTATCACCAGGTCCCACAACTTAACAAATAGTTATAGCACCTTGAAGGTGCCTTTATTATCTATAGTCTACACTATTTGTATTTTGCCTTAGTTATTTCTTTCTCCCACCTAAGTTCATCAGCTTCTGAAAGACAAGAACTATACTTTACATTTTTCCTATATCCCCTCTACTATCTAACCCCAAGTTTAAGGACTCCCAAAATATACATGTGAACTAAAAAGGTTTTCCACCATCAAAGTCCCAAAGTTCTCTCTAGCTTCTGTGGGTTATCTGCAGGATCCCAAATATATTTAAGGATCAAAGCAACCAGACAATGACATTGTCTAAATTCCCCTACTACACTCATGTAAGTAAACCTGCCCCTGACTCAGTTCCAGTTGTCTAAGCCAAGTGTTCCAGAAAGGACAAGCCCATTAAATCTCTATCTGCATGATGGTCCTGGGTCACAGAGTGACCTGAGACCATCCATAGGAGGCCTCTTTGGGTCACTTTTGCCCTTTTTTTTACTCCCAGGCTTTGTTCGCAATGGCCACAAACCGATCTGGCAGCTGACCTCCCAGACACAGGCTGGCTGAAATGCGATCACGCCTGTGGGTCACCTGTCCTCTTTTTATGCAAGCACGAGAACCTGATCTGCTACCCTCTTCTTCCTACCTCCCAGAAATACAAAGAACCCTTTCTTCCTCCTCCTCCCTCACACAAAGACAAGCAGGAAAATGCGATGGCTTGCTGGTTTAGGATATTTTGAGAAAGACCATTTGTTTTAGGTAAAAAAGATTATAGCTTGGCTCATTTAACTGAATATAAACATTTGTAAACTTGGTTTTCTTGTAACAAGTAATACATATACACACATGTATCTATACCAAAAAATTCAAACCAAAAAGCATACACTGAAAAGCAAAGCTCCGTCCTCCACTCTCTCCCAGATCTCAGTTCCACTATTCTACCCTCCGAACACAAACTTTTTGAATCCTATTTTTCACTGGGAGCTTCTAATTAGGAGAAAGGAATAAATATTTACTAAGCACCTCCTGAGCACCTCTTAAGATGTGTGTTTGGGCCGGGCGCAGTGGCTCACGCCTGTAATCCTAGCACTTTGGGAGACCGAGGCAGGCGGATTGCTCGAGGTCAGGAGTTTGAAACCAGCCTGAGCAAGAGTGAGACTCCGTCTCTACTATAAATAGAAAGAAATTAATTGGCCAACTAATATATATAGAAAAACTTAGCCAGGCATGGTGACACATGCCTGTAGTCCCAGCTACTCGGGAGGCTGAGTCAGCAGGATTGCTTGAGCCCAGGAGTTTGAGGTTGCTGTGAGCTAGGCTGACGCCACGGCACTCACTCTAGCCTGGGCAACAAAGCGAGACTCCGTCTCAAAAAAAAACCAAAACATGTGTTTGACACCCAACAGTACATTTAACCTTCACAACAACCCTGTGAGGCTGATATTATTATTTCTTCCACTCTTCAGGTGAGGAACCTGAGGTTCAGAAGAGTAAGAGACTTGTTCAAAGCCACAAACCTAGGTTTGAGTCCAAAGCTGCCTCTCCAAGCTACTTTCTAGGCTGCCCAGTTTCGTAAAGTAGATTCTTCATCCAAAACTCTTCTTTCAGAAAACACATGCTCTGGAATTAGACTCCTTTGGTGAGAAAACTGGTTCTACAACTTAGAGCTCTAAGAACCCAACAGATACTACTGCACACCCTGAGACTCAGTTTCTTTGTCTGTAAAATGAGCTTAACAATAAGACCTCCCACATGAGGTCTGCAGTAAGATGAAATGAGTTCCATGTGATGAGCCTGGCATAGCACCTGACATACAGTTAACACTTCATAACGGTTGTTATTAGCATTATTATCCTATGCTTGATTAACAAACAAGGTTTGAAATGGTTTTCTTTTCTGTTTTTATTCCCTCCACTTAGCTTTACAGTGACGTGGCTTGGGGAACCAATGGTGATGGATTTGGGGAGCTGTTCGAAATTGCCTGGCTCCGCAATGCCAATTCCTTTTCTCTCCTTCCCCAAGTCTGTTCCCTGAACATTTCTTCTCTTACCACTAACTGCCAAAATCACAGCCTTTTCTGCTGCCAAATACCAGAAGCTTTTTACTAGTGTTATTACTATGCTTTTTTTTTAATCATGGAAATATTTCAGTTTTTTTCTTTTTTAAAAACTAGATTTCAGCAACACCCTCTCTACTGCCACCAGTTTTTAATTTCTAAAATTTATGTGCCTATGATTCCTCTGTACCCCTGTTCCTATATCATGGAACTCAAGATTGATGAAATTGTTCTAAAATAATCTTGACCTATATAAAAGGAAGCTATCCAAATTCCCTTGGAATGGAAAAAGACATTTGTTAACCTGGTCATACAATTTACAAACCCATATCCGCTGAACTGAGCAACATTTTCTATTTAATTGCCTTTTCCTCTTTAACTGAAAGCCAAAGGAGATGTGTAGGCTGTGGTGTCACGAGGCCAGCAGATGAGAGGCTGAAGGAGGTTTCTTAGGGAAATGGCAAGATCACAGGGCCAAGGAATTCAGGTGACCAGGTTCTCACTGTGGCCAACAGCTAGTTGTATGGCATTGGCCAACCCCCCTTGCATTATCCGAGTTTTAGTTAATTTATCTAAAGATGAGAAGGTGAGACCAGCTTTTTCCTAAGAACCCTTTCTAGCTCTTTCTTTAAGTAAGCCAGTCTTTTGCAATCATCCCCTAAGCATCTTATCTGGCCTGGGCCTTGTCAGGGCAGTAAGTTATGTGTCATGATGCAGGCTCAGGAAATAAGCTTCTGCCAAAAGTAGGTGTGCATATGACATGCTAGCCATGAAAGATGCAGCCTCCATTTATTGCAAAAATGCAGCTGTGCCAAGCTGTCAAAACGTAATTCATGGCAAAGCAATAAACTCCAGGTTGATTTTTAATCACCTTATGTGAAATGATAGCTGAGCAAGACTATTTCAAGGGAGACATACTTGGGCTCTGTCTAATAACCTTCCATGAATTTCTCCCATTCTACAATTCTGTTTCAAGCACCTGGAAACATGGCTAGTACAAGACTGGGATCCCAGCAGGGTTTATAAGGAAACGTTTTTAAAAAATATCTTTGTGTGTAACCCTTCTGCTACGTTATCCTTCCCCATTTTCTCCTCTGGGAGACTTTGTTTCATAATTCTGACATCATAACTGGTTCCTCCAATCCAAAGTCTATTGTGATGGATAACAAATGAGTAAGAATCCCAGGAATTCAGGGGGAGTAAGGTCCAGGCAGCAATAGACATTGTTGTTTTACTACAAAAGCCTCAACAGAGAGTTGAACAAGTTACCTAAAGTCAAAGATGAACCATGCTAATATGCAATTCTTTAACCACCCTCATGAGACCAGCGTCTTTGAACCATGACATTCTGAATCAGGCTTTTGGCAGCTTGAGAAATGCTGAGGTTTTTACTGCTCTTTTAAAATGTTTCATTTGACTTTCCTTACTCTACAAGGCAGAGACCCCCACATTTTGAAAATGTCATTTTTGAAAGCTATACGCACAAATAGCAAGGAACCTAGAGCATGCCATCCACAGAAGCCACCCTGAGCTAGCCGGGCATGCCCCTGGTGTCTGTAGTTTATTAACCCAGCAGCACCATGTCAAGGAAAGAGCGGGCCGAGCAGCCAAACCGTGAGTCACAGCATACTTACGTCACTCTTCCTGAACTTCGCTTTCAAGCTCTTCATGTTTAGTCCATTCAGCCTTCCAAAGCTCTGGAGGAGATTTTTCAACACCTAAGCAGAGAAAGAAAGAAAGTATGTACCGGGTATTAGATTTCCAAATACACATTACAGATACTGTCTCTTGATTGGATTACAACTTTGGGCCATGGGAAGGAGACAAGGTTGGGCTAGGAAGGTGATCAGAGCTAACAGCCGGGAAGGGATAAAGAACACATGTTATTCCCACTCATAATCTACTCCCTAGACCCTTCTGACATAGTCAAATTAACTAAAACTTTAACTTTTTTCTTCTTAATTGGCAAATAAGAACTGCACATACTTGTGGTATATAGCATGACATTTAAAATATGCATATATTGTGGAATGGCTAAATCGAGCTAATTAACATATGCATTACCTTACTTATTATTTTATTGTGGTGAAAACACTTAAAATCTATTCTCAGCAATATTCAAGTATAGCATACCTATAATTAACAATTACCTATAGTTACCATGTTGTACAATAGATGTCTTGATATTCCTCCTGTCTAACTGAAATGCTGTATCCTTTGACCAACAATCCCTCACTCACCCTGCCAATCTCAGCCCCTGGTAAGCACCATTCTCTGCTTCTATTAGTTCAATATTTTTAGATTCCACATATAAGTGAGTTCTCAAACATTAAAAGTAGAACAAGTTTAAGCTGCTGCTTAAATGTTACTGTATCAAATGCTCCATCTGTATGTTGAAGTAATTCTTTACACATCCTTCATGTTGCAATCATACCATCCGCCTCCTTTTGAAAGGCCAAAATAGTGAAAAATGATAAGGAAAAGAGTTCATATTCCAGATGCCATTCATTCCCTATTTATTTTTCTCAATGTTTGTCCGTCCCTGACCGCCACCCCAAAGCACAAGGCAGTTAGTAAAAAATGCCAGGAACAACAAAACCTCCCACATCAAATAGCTCATTCCTCAGGGGGGCCTCTTTAAACCGTGCAAGAACTCTCCAGGTCCTTGAGTTGTAGTTGAAAAAGTCTTAAGTAATCACTTCATTTACAAGGGGTCCATGATCCCCTGAAAATTGAATATACTCTTTTTTGAGTAAGTATATATATGTACATTTTCAGGGAAGAAGGTTCCTGGTTGCCACCCTTCAAAAGTCAAGGCTACTAATCTAGTCTAAGCTCTTCATTTTCCAGAAATAGAAACAGAGAGCCCCAGAGAAGTTAAGAAACTTGCCTGCAGTCACAAAGCCTGTTATGGTGGAATTCAGAACCAGACCCCAAAATCTGATTAGTAGCTGAATGCTTTCTCTCCACTGCCCTGCACAGCTTTATAACTAAAACCAAAAAGCTGAATCCTGTGCTAAAATAGGATACAGACTTTATCTCTTTAATTAAACCTGGGAATGTACAAAGCGTGGAATCTCTGCATGCAGACTAAAAAGTCAAAGTGCAAAAAGGCAAGATAATCTATGTGAAAGTTCTCATGACATAGGAAGCAATTCGATAGATGTAACATCAAGCCACACCTGACAGAAAGTGAGAACAGGTGCATGTTAACAGCACCATCTCAGCTGAAAACTAAGGAATAGCAGTCAAATGTTGACCACAGTCAAACCACTATGTTCTCAGAAGCTTTTCAAGGTCATTGCGTGTTCCTCCACATCCTTATCACTCTGGACAAAACTCATTCGAGAAGATTGGGCGGGGGCTGAGAGATGGAAGCAACTGAATGCTGTACTCATCCCTACTCATGTCCTTGTCATTGCCTCCAGAAATCACCCAGTGACTCTGTAGCTTACCATGTGTTTACTTTCATTATTGCTATTGCCATTAAGCAGGACCCTTGGATGAATGGTGTGACAACCCAGTCATCATAAAGCACTAGGATAGCATGAATCTGGAGGCCACACTATTACTGCAGCCTCTCTCTGGCCCTTTTCAATCTTCCCAGACTCGGCAGGAGTGACAGAACACATGTTGCCTTGGAAACTGTACACACTGTAATTACACATTGTTAACTGCCAAGCATTTAATCACAGAGAACACTGGGCTGGTACCTGAACAGCAAGTGCAAATTCCAAGGCAGTGTTTCTCAAAGTCAGCCCCTAATTAACCTGCATGAGTAAGACCTATGGATGATTTGCTAACTACAAAATCCTGGTCCCTATCCTATGGAAACTGAACTCAAGAAGGGGCAGGACCCAGGGCTGTCCTTGGTTGAATCTTTTACAAAGTAAAGATGGAGAACCTAGAATTGATGTAGAAAAGGGAATTCACTTGCCAGAGTTGAGAGTGAGCTGGTTTATAAACCAAAGTTGGGCTGGCTTTTCCATGTCAAAACAAAATCATCAGGGCCGGGCGCGGTGGCTCACGCCTGTAATCCTAGCACTCTGGGAGGCCGAGGCGGGCGGATTGCTCAAGGTCAGGAGTTCAAAACCAGCCTGAGCGAGACCCCGTCTCTACCATAAAAATAGAAAGAAATTAATTGGCCAACTAATATATATAATATAAAAATCAGCCAGGCATGGTGGCTCGTGCCTGTAGTCCCAGCTACTCGGGAGGCTGAGGCAGGAGGATCGCTTGAGCCCAGGAGTTTGAGGTTGCTGTGAGCTAGGCTGACGCCACGGCACTCACTCTAGCCTGGGCAACAAAGCGAGACTCTGTCTCAAAAAAAAAAAAAAAAAAAAAAAAATCATCTTTTGATGAATTGAAGTAAAAATAATGATAATCAGATATCCCCAACCTGTCACTGGCCCAGGGTTTCTATATCAACTATTGCTAGAAAATGGAAATCACCCTTTAAGTTCTTCTACCCTCTGGTAGAAATGCTAATAACCAAGGAAATAGGCCAAATCAGTGCAACAGGAAAGGAGAAAAGAGAAGCCAGTGCTTGGATAACCCATAATCTATGTGGCCTGCCAAGGCAGAACCACCCACAGCATTCCTTCATTCATGGATTCATAGAACACAAGGTCTTGGGCAACAATGGGTAAACATTTTTTTGAGGTCATGGGGGTTTCATAGGCTTTGTGTTAGGTTTTTGTTTTTTGGGGTTTTTTTGGCATGTATTTGTCTTTAGCTTTCTTTCTTTTTTATAAGCATGCAGCAAGAAGTATGCAAACTCTTATTTGAAGAGGATTAAATAAAGTAATTCCAAAAGTTCCCAGAGGACGGTATGAACTGCTAGATGAGTACCCTCCTGGAGCCCATGGCTCTGGGTGGTCTCCATGATGATAGAGATGGGTGTCAAAGCAAAAAAAAAAAAATTCTGGACTCCCACAGAATAGCAACTCCGGAAACATGAACTGTAGCTGGGGGGGTAAAGTTATTAATAGGTCACTGCTTTCCTGGTATTTGTGAAAGGACCTAATGCCTGGAAGCCATAACTAGCGGGAAGTAACCTGGCCCCTCGAATAATGCCCTGTCTGCTCTGTCTCAGCAGCTCCTCTTCCCAAAACTGAACTCTGAGTAAATCAGGGACTCTCTCTCCCTCCTTGGAGTAGTTGGGATCTTACAGCCCCAATTCCCAATCCCTAACTTCCAAAGTCCAGGCTGGGGCTGGGCATGGTGGCTCAAGCCTGTAATCCTAGCACTCTGGGAGGCTGAGGCGGGTGGATCGCTCAAGGTCAGGAGTTCAAGACCAGCCTGAGCAAGAGTGAGACCCCTGTCTCTACTAAAAATAGAAAGAAATTAATTGGCCAACTAAAAATATATAGAAAAAATTAGCCGGGCATGGTGGTGCATGCCTGTAGTCCCAGCTACTCGGGAGGCTGAGGCAGAAAGATTGCTTGAGTCCAGGAGTTTGAGGTTGCTGTGAGCTAGGATGATGCCATGGCTCTCTAGCCCGGGCAACAGAGTAAGACTCTGCCTCAAAAAAATAAATAAATAAACAAACAAACCAAAGCCCAGGCTGGGCTACAACTATCTTGAGTACAGTGACAGCTCTCAGTTTAGTGAGGCTATGCAAATGGCAGCCCTAGGAAAAGCCATTTAATCAAGATGCTTATTTCAAAAGAATTGCAGTGAAGCTGGACAGCAGCCTAATTTGGAAATATACAAGAAAGGATCACACATCTACGGAGAAGTTATCTGAACTAAGTTCTCCCATTTTAAGCAGAATAAAGCATACCTCCCCACACTGAGCAGAAATATTAGTCAGTGTACTACCTGCTTAATTCAAAATAAGTCACTGAAACATGAACCATCACTGGTTACCAATCATCTATGATGGATGTCATATTGATGGGTGAGGATGGAGCAGTGGGAAAGATACATCCTTGTTTCTTCCATCTCATTTGAAAGACTAGATACAACACACATGGTTTATTGATTCATTTTCCATTTAAAATAATGTAACTCTCAAATAGAGCTTAACATGAGATAACCTTGTCTGATATAATTCTAACCTTAATCAGAAAACCTTGATAATAACCTATAGAGCTTTATCATGAACAAAAAAGTTAGACTTCTTTGAGTATTAAAAAATAACTTATTAGGAGGGAGGAGGGGAATGGGCATTTATTGAAACCTTAAAATCTGTACCCCCATAATATGCCGAAATAAAAAAAAAAAACCTTATCAAAGATATGGAGTTTTCCTTTAGAGGGTGATAAAAATGTTCTAGAATTTGTCGTGATGGTTAAACAATGTGAACATACTAAAAACAATCCAACTGTATACTTTCAGGAGGTGAATTAAATGGCATAAAATGGTATCTTAACACAGCTGTTATGTAAAAAAATAAACAAACAAACAAAAAACAAGCTTAATAATCTCCATTACCTTCTCCAATCCTTAGAATTAGGAAAATTCCAAGTTAGAAACCTCTAGAATGATGGAAACAGAACTTCAAAGGAACAAAAGTTAACAATCAATGCTCTTAAAATGCTGAAATATGGTAACTCTTAGGAGATTTTCTTTATTTAGCTATTTCTCTACTACAACCCACCACTAATTTAAAGTGATGAGAAGGAAGTGGTTCCTCTCTTGATATTCAACCAACTCCTAACTCCCACCCACCCTAACCCACATCTGATCCAAGGACCATCTTTTATGGCCGTGG